CTCCTTGTTCCCCCTGCCCCACCAAAGTCAAGCTCATGCATTAAGAAAGCTGGGCTGAAGAATTCCAGGGTACAGAAAGAATGAAATTCCCCTGTCTCCGATCATGAATTAGTATCTTCTTAGAAGGCAGAAACTATAAGGAATCATAATGAAAACTTGGGATCAGATAGAGTAGGTTTGCATCCCAGTTCTGCCATTTGCTAGCCATGAGATCTTGGGTAAAATCCTTGCCCTCACTAAGACTCTGTTTCCACTTCTGTGTAATGCATTCATTTGACAAATACATGACCTACCATGTGCTGCGTGTTCTAGGTGCTGGGGCTACGGGAGGAAACCCAGCGTGGCTCCCGCTTTCTTGGAGGCTATGTTTAAGAGGAGGTGGAGGGGCAGCAGAAAATGGACAGATGATATCTCAGGTAAGGATACAAGCTAGCAAACGAGGGTCAGGGTAAGGCCACCAAAAGTGAAGGGGAAGATCCGAGGGTGTGATTTTCCCTAGGGAATTCTAGGAGAGCTTCTCTGAGGAACGCAGGCTTTGGATGATACAGAGAGAGTAAGAGAACGTACCTGGCAGAGTTACTGTTAGAACTACATGATCGAAGGATATGAAATCCAGCATCTGACATAGAGCAAGCACCTAATAAACATAGTTATTATTATTATTTATATTAGCTATAAGGAAGATTTAGGTAAAATCCATTAGAAAACTGGAATTCATTACAGCCCCTTCATTTTTGGGGGTGGTTATGGCAAAGTCACAGTGTGGGAGATCACACCTTCTGAAATCTACACTTATAACTTGTTAAAAAAAAAATTCCAATCTGGCCTAGGTTCCCAGGGCACTGGCAGCCAACCATAATGAGGCAAATAACTCCAGGCTCCTCCTGCAGGGAGAAATATGCTAAGTGTGATTTCTCACCACCCAGCTTCCATCCCAGGCTGATGAAGTCACTAGAACTATGAGTTTCTGTTGACTAGAAAGGGTTCTGAGGGCTGCTTACACCTTGCTATTGGGAGGCTGGGCAGGAAGGCCAGGGGAAACATGCTAAGCTGAATTACAGAAGACCTTGGGGTCACTGTTCCCGCATGCTGAGGTCAGGGATCTGAAAACCCACTGTGTATGAATGTGGGGGTAAGAGAGAAAGTGGAGCGGGTGGGGAGAGACAGAGACAGGCATCCTGATCTGGAATAATGGTACTAATTGAAAGCCATTTCAAATCCTCCAATGTACGTGTCCAAGTGCAAGAGCCAAAGCTCTTCATTTTTAGTCCCGGCTCTGGAATCACCAGTCGGCAGGCACTGGGCAAGTCACTTCTCTCTTTGAGACTGCACCAGGTTTAAGGGCTCAGGTCCACAGCAAAGGAGATCAAGATTTCATTCTTAGTCCTGCGTGATCCTGGGCATATTACTTAACCTCTCTGAGCCTCATCTGTACAATGGGTATTTAACAGCAAACTGTACCGCAGGTGGTAGCTAATGCAGATATAGCGTGCAGCATGGTGCATGGGATATAATAAATGCTCAATAAATACTAGGCACCAGCATTTTCACTGGCTTTCCCACTGGCTGTTCTGAAGATGAATCAAGGGATTAGGTAAGAAAACAATTGGTGATATAAATGGCACTTTACAGCTATAAGGTGTTATTATTAAATTATCATTATGATTATTGCTTTGGATGTTATATACTGAGCAGGCAATACGGTGCCTCTCTGGGTAATGAGTGATTGGATTTAAAAGGCTACCTCTTCCATGAAAGAAGAAAAAAAATAGCCACATTCTTGCTTTGAAAAGCTGAGCCTCCTAGAACTGAAACAGAACAGGTTCATTACTCAGTGAGGATTAATTAGCTGTCGGGTATTATTAAATGTTCTCACTCTCAAGATCCACACAGAACTGTAAAGTATGAAAAGTGAGCAAGAGGTAATCATAAGACAGGGAAGGGGGAAAAGCCACAAATGCTGGCAATGCAAATTTCGAGAGAGGAGCATGTTAGTAAATTACAGCTTGATTAATATCACGTCAGCTCATTCTCTGTTTGGAGTCATTGTTCTGAATCTATGGTCTTCAGGGTTGCTTGTTTTTTTTTTCTTCTTCTACTACTGGGATCAAAACGGAGAGGAGGCTGGCTTTTTCAGTGTTTTCATCCAAAGAATGCTGCAGTGTGGATGATTACGCTGAAACACAGGATATTGGAAAGCCTAGGAAAGTAGACGGGGTGAAATCAAATACGGGTATTTACAATATTATAGCAAATGTGTCTCTCTAGTTGATGTAGTAACTATTGAAATGATTGAAAAGTAGCAGAGGCTACTTTTATAAAAAAGTACTTTCATAAAAAAATGATAGCTCGGGGGAGCCTTAGAGATGATAAAATCCAGTGACCACAGACCCCCTGTCTCAACCACCGGGGGCTTGTGTTAAACGTGTAGATTTTGCTGGATCACCTCCATTTGCTGAAGGGAATCACTGGGGTTGGGTCCTGGGAATCTGGAACTCGCACCGTGGATGCAACAGCACAGACTATTCATTCAGTCCTCTGTGTGGCAGCTCGGAAACTAAGACTGGAGAGAAGAAATGTGATTTGCTGGCCCCGGGTCACACAGCTTGTTAAGACGAAAGCAAGAACCAGAATTGGGGTTTTCTAACTTGCAGCCACACCTCAAGGCCTCCTTCCACGTTTGATGGGTACCAAGTCCACTTCAGCATCTCTGCTCTAATGGAAACATACACAGAGGCCTTCTCTTCATCATGTGGGCGGCATCTCGGAGCGGCCAACCACAAGGCATATGAAATCCCATAGAATGCCAGGGACACCAGGAACTCTTTGTCGGAACTACAGATGGCATCTGAGAAAGTCCGTCCACAGAGCAAACAAGGACAAGGTGACATCTGGGCAGAAGGTCATGGTATGAACTCCCCAGTGGCACCTAAGGCCTCTGTTTTCCCCACAGGATTGCTGAGTTCCACGGAGCAAAAGACTGTCTTAACTCCCTTTGGACAGCCAGTGGATTGCCTGCCGCTCACTAGTTATCAGTGAATGGCTTGTAGACTGAATACAACAGTATAAAAAGTATATGAAAAGGAAAAGAATACGAACTTTCTTGTATCAGTAGGGAGTAATAACAGCTATGATAATGATAATGATGAAGATAATACCAAACCAACAGCAGGGAACACACATTAATGAGTGCTTTCTGGGAGTGAGACTCTACAAGGCTAAGCACTTCATCACACACAAGACAGCATGGATTTCTCACAAAAATCCCAGGAAGCAGTGAATCCTTGTAATGCACTGGGACTTGGGAGGCACAAGGACTTTAATTAATATGTCCAAGGTCCCCAGGTGGAAAGCAATGGTGCCACAGTTCTAACCCAGGACAGACTGACTCAATGTCCATACTCTTCACTACCCTACCCTCAGCTCTGCAAAACCTCCGAGCCTTTAGAGCATCAGCCCGGCCTGATATGGGAGACTTGCCTGGCAGTTCTTCAGGCTGAAGGCACAGGCTGACAAGAAGAAACAGAACAGCCAATGCTTATTTGCTTAGAAGACCAACGACCAGGTACCTGGGACTACTGGGTAAATACCCGAGAGCCTAGCACTGTGGCCAGCAATGAGCCTGAGTTCATAAAGCACCTGCTGGGGGCATCTGGGTGGCTCAGTCAGTTGAGTGTCTGACTCTTGGTTTCAGCTCAGGTCATGACCTCAGGGTCATGAGATTGAGCCCCACATTGGGATCTGCACTTAGCAGGGAGCCTGCTTGAGATTCTTTCCTTCTCCGTCTGCCCTTCCCCCTGCTCACGCTCTCTCTCTCTAAAATAAATAAATAAAATATTTAAAAAAAAAAGCACCTGCTGAATAGAGGAACAAATGATTTAATGAATAAATAAACAAGCGAGCTAACCAGGCACTGATCATTCAATTCCCGTAGCTGCTTCTAAACCTAGAGTGACCCCCTCTTCTCCCCACATGTGTCCCTTCTCGGTTTTCGGTCTTTAGTAGCTGGTATCTGAAAGCACGGGTCTGACACAGTTTGGAAAGTCCCTTGGGGCTAGGGCTGGTCTCAACATGTGTCTGCTTTACCATTCAGGTTGAACACATCCAAAACCAAACTCACCACCGAGTCCTGAACCACTTTAACCTGTATCCAGAGAGCCTTCCCTTAAAAGTTTGCTTTTAGAAATCCATTTTTAACATCACTTTCCTAAGAGACCTTTCCTGGTCTCCCAGAGCCAAACACCATTTCTTCCTGGTAACTCTCTGACACTCCCTGCATTTACCTTACTCTATTTAGTGCCATAAGCATCTTTATAGTAGACCTACAAATCCTTTCTCTACCAGACTGTGTATTTCCGGAGGGCAGGGAGGGAGCTGCTCAGACTAACAGCAGAAATCACGTATTGAGGACCATGGAAGGAGGGCTTTCCATCCCCAGCACATTTTTAGTCAAGTATGGGGTTCACGGTTTTGGGTTGAGTAAGTAGGAGGTTCACTGTTTTACAGACACAGAAACTAAAAAAACTTGCATGACTCAAGTTCAAAAGGGTTAAGTGACCACGTGAGATTCTGATGAAGGGCAGAATTCAAACCCAGGCCCATTAGATTCACAAGTTCATGTTCTAAATCACAAGATCCCAACTTGCCACTTGGGTAGTCCCATCCCTTGCACCTTGAGTACAAAAGATGCTCAGAACATTTTCGATACCGTGAGCAGACAGAGGTTGACTGTAGTAAGGCATGGTAGTGGCCGTGTGGGCCAGTCTTAGGGGAATAGATGAAGGACACGTATTTGTAGTGGTCAGAGCTCAGACCCGTCCTGCTCCTCCCTCTGCCGTCAGAGACTCAGAGTGAGTCTCTGCTTCATCTCCTTCACTCACACGTGACAGTTGCAACCTAGAGCCGCACCCAGCCCATGGCCACACCGGGGAGCCCTTCCTCGGCACCCGGTGGCCAAGAGAAGTGAAAGATGGGGGCCAAAGCTGCCCCCCCGGGCTCACCCTCAAGGTCGTGATGGTGGCAGGATCCCGGAGCCGGCCCTCCTCATCTTTCAGATTGTAACCTTCTGGCCTCTTATCACGCTCGCTGACTTTCCACAGCTTCACGGTTTTATCTGTGGAGGGCAACCAGAGGAAATCAAAATTACAGTGAAAACCAGCTTGTCAAGGAGTTTTGTGTGTGTGGAGGGGTGGGGCGGGGGAGATGCAGGGGGAGGTGGAGCTGAGGATGGAAGGGACTGTTGTTCACGTCAAGGATTCAGGGCATAAATCTTATGTCATCTGGAGGCAGAGCTCATGTTTCAGCACAAAACCATATAGTGTGCCCAGACCAATGGCCTATGACATCTGGAGCTTATATTTTGGTTCATTCAATAAAAATATTTATTGAACACTGAATAAGAGCAGTCACGTATACAGAACTAGCTGTGTCACTATGTTATTAGCACTTGTCATGGAAAATTTATTTAATGCTCCCCATAACCCTGAGAGATAGGTATCCCCATTTCAGGGTCCCACCCCAGCAAGCACTGCCCTGACCGTGACCTGAAAGGCCCTCCGTGACCCGCACTTCCTCACCCTTTCCAGTCTCACCGTCTGCCCCCTTCGCCCTGTGCTCCAGCCATGTGGCTTCTCTACAGCCCCCCCCGTATACGCTCTGGTCCCCATGCCTGCCTCGGGCCTCGCACTAGCTGTGCCTTTTCCCGGAAAGCCCTTGGCCGTCTTCCGCAGGGGACTTGTTCCTTCACTTTGCTCTGTTCGTGTCCCACCCCCAGAGGGGCCTTTCCTAACCAACCTGCATCAAAATGTCCCCACCATTCTCTCGCCTGCTCCGCCTGCTTGAATGTTTCCTCTCGCCACTTCTCACTACGTGACCACGGCTTTGTTACGTCTCCCTCACAAGAATGTAAACTCGCCGGAGGCAGGGATTCTGTCTTGCCCATTACTACACACCTAGCACCTACAACAGTGCCTGGGACACAGTGGATGTTCAATAACTATTAGGTGCATGAATGAACGAATCCCGTCTATACAGTGCATCTTGCTAGCAATACTCAGAGATATAAAATGGTAAGAACGTTCATTCAAATGCTCCTTTCCCCTTGCAGTCTTCTTGGAATTCCCAGCTGGAAACTACCTTTCTTCCCTGTGTACTGTTCCAGCACTTCCCATCATTGGCTGACACCTGTCATTCTCCATAGCAATAAAGGAGGGCAAGATCTCCAATGTGTACAGGGGTAAGGCAGGCCGGGGGGGATGAGTGAGAGGGGCTGGGGGGGGCTCTGGGAGGCAGGAGATGGCATGCCCCGCCTGCAGGCTTTCCATCCCTTTTCTTAAGAAAACACGTTTGGGCCAATCAGATCATATGTGTGGCCCACGTGCCTCTGGGTCCTGCATTCACGATTTGTATTCGATCTAGCTTTTCTTGTGGAAGGCAGGGACTCAAATGCCTTCTTCCTCTGTGCCTGCATCGGGTAGGCTTGGGAACCAGACAATCTTGGGCCATACCCTCACTCTCACTCCAGCCAGCCACGTGGCCAAGGACAAGGGTTCCCAGGTAGTAGGTGCCCCGTTTCTTCAAGTGACAAACAGGAGTACCAGATTTATCAGGAGAAAGAGTACAGAACGCCCAATTCAATGTGAAATTCAGAGAAACAACAAAGGAGTTTTTAGTATAAGTATGTCCCACATATTTCAACCTTACAAATAAAGGCACTTAACTTCTCTATGCCTCGGTTTCTTTATTTGTCAGTTGGGGCAAACAGTGCCTTCCCCACGGGGCTCTCAGGAGGATGAAATGGAACACTGGGCATATAGTGCTGAACACAGGGGTGGCCTGCCAATAATGGATGACAAAGGGCAGCTGTTAGAATTTGCAAAGGGGGAAACTATTCTCTGATAATAACATGTTGCCCTGACAGCGATAGTTTCATCCTGCGGTGATGTCAGCACATCCCGTCTCCTCCGTAATACTGTGGGGAGAAGAGCCGCCCCTCCCCCGGCCTCTAGTAGGGTTCTCTTTCTCCTTCGCCCCTTCATCTCCCTTCTCCGCGTCTCCTTGCCGAAGGCCTGGCCCTCAGAGGTCTGAAATGCACCCCATTCTGAAGTCGGCTTTCAGCAACCATTTGGCTACTTTAACAGGTCAGTGCCCCTGTTTCCTACTATGGGATGATTCCAGCTGGTCACATACTGGCAGACCCGGCTGGGCTGCTCAGTGTAAGATGTGTGCGCCCTGGACCGTGCGCTCCCCCTGGCCTGTACTGGGACAGAAGGCAAGGAGGCCTTTCCCAGACCCAGAGTTGAATTCTGCACTTCCTATCTGTACGCCAACAGTCCTCTGCTCCTACCCTCTCTAGACACCCTGCTGCCGCATGCACTGCATTTTAGGATGAGAAAATGAAGCAGAAGCCCTGTGTTATACAGTCGCTGGATTAGGGACCAGTCAGCTGTAACTCAGAACAACACAAACCAGAGACATTTAACACCGAATATTTCCTATTGCTCGGCTTTGGAATATATCCTGTCCCATTCGCAAGGTGATTCTTCTCTTCTATTTTTTTTTTTTTATTATTATGAATAATACATTGCTACACAGAGAAATAGAGAAACCACAGGTAGAACATAAAGAGTAAGAATCAACTACAATCGCTCTAGTCAGGGATAATCCTTGTTAACATTTTGCAGAGATACTTGTGGTATTTTTTTCTCTGCATTTTTGGGGGGTGGGGTACAAACCTATAGTAATACTGCATATACAGATTTTGTATTTTCTCATTTTATTTCCTTCTTTTATTATACAAGTGGTAAATATAATTGCAAAAAATGAAAATGAGCCAGAAAGTTAAAAAAAAAAATTAACATTTCCCTCAATTCCACTAGACAAAGAAAAGTATTAGGAAGATTTTGTATACATCCTTTCATTATATTTTTGTGTGCAATTATATCACTTTTTAATATATGTCATATTCTATGAATAATTTATAATATGCTTTTTTCCTAATCATATCTATCCATACTAACCTCTACTCCTATAAATATCTAATTTATAAGAGTAAGAATCTGTTATTAATTAAAGGTCAAATAAAGGGAGGTTTAGTAGTAAATTATAGAAAACTCATACAAGAGAATGCTATGTAGTCATTGAAAAGGTGATGATATTTTAGAAGGATATTTAACAAGTAGGAAGATGCTCCTGTTGTTAAGTGTTATATTATTAAGTAAAAAAAATCTTGTTGCAGAACAGCTTATAGAATAATCCCATTTTCCTTAAGAAGCAAAGAAATTTATCGATTTATCCATGTCTCTGCTTTTTTCTTTAAAAGACATTAATACTGGTTCTCTCTGGATGTAAACACTTTATTATCTTCATTTTGCTTCCCTGTTTTTTTCTAAAAATTTTTTTTTATGAATACATACTACTTTCATAGCATGCAAACCAAATCAAGTATACCTTTCCCTCTCATCATTAAGAATTAAGACAGAAGTAGAAAGCAAGGTAAAGCAACGTGTTTCACCTGCAAAGTAATTTCAAAGTCTAGATTCACAATGGAATGTTGGTTCTATTTTTCATGAAAAATGGTAAAGTTGAAAATATATGCCAGCAGAACATAAAAACTGCACCCAACTATAATGAGAGAAGCACATTTTTTTTTTTTTTTAAAGATAATTGATGGTGAATTCAATCCAATTCCCCATGGCTGGGTTGCCTGGAGTCATTCTCGACTTTATTATCATACAATTTTTCTTGACTTAGTATCTTGAAGCTTTGTGGATAAAAAAAGTCTAAGGAACATGTGGCTGTTACTATGAGTAATGACTTTTTCTTTTTTCTGGCCGGCTCTCTGAGTAGTTTATCATTACTTGTGGCAGCTTTTAAACACAATCTTATCATCTATCTTCATTTTCTCTTTTGTACAGTAATTCCAATTGTCTTTCATTAATTTTTGCATGTTAACCTATTTGGCTTAAGGGGAATTCTCAACCTCAATATTAGTACAAAAAAGAAAATTGCATAAGAACATGGGAATTTTTCTTCTAAGAATCATTTTGAGATGCTGTTGGCATATGAAATAGCATCCCAAATGGGAAGATAATATCCTTGTTAATCAAAAAACTATTTAAAAACTCAATTAACAGAACATTATGCTATATAATTAATCTTCATTGCATTTCAATGATTTTGGTCCCATCCCCCCCACAAAGCACTTAATAAGTCTTTGGATTTTATAGTAATAATCAATAGGGTAAATTTCACAATATAAAGTAAGCTAGCCATAGCAGATGATCAGACACTTTTCCTCTGCTGGCAATAATTAAGTCAACATCATCAGAAGTCTCTTTTATTCTAAAGGGTTGGCTATGCAGAGCCTTTAAGTAAAACTTCACCAGTGAAACAAACAAAAAAAGAAGAAACATTCATGTGGTCTGGCTTTCAAGAAATCAGGGTTGAAAAAAGTAAAGCGAACAATACAGACAGTTCTGAGAAAGAATTAAATTACTGAGAATCTGGAAAAACAGATGAGTGGAGATCTGGTCATGTTGAGATAAGCCATGCTTGAATAGCCCCAGACTGGCTATTTCAGAAGTGCGAGTGTTTAGATTTGTACACTGGCTTTATAATCAAGGGAGTTTGGGTTCATATGCATTAAAAACTTTCCCCCTCTTTTCAGAAGAGTAAAATAAAATTCACTGTAAAGATTTAGAAAGGAAAAATGAGAAAAGGAGCAAATCTACAAGACACTCCACTTGCACGATCCAAAATTAATCATGATAAATCTTTCTGTGTGTTTCCTTTCTGTCTTCAAAAACACTAATATATGTCTGATCCTATTACATACATGTGAGCAATGCCTTGTCAGTGCTGGGGATAGGCAAAAAAGCAAATCCCTGGCTTCTTGACTTATATTTAAATGTATATTCCTCCTAGGCAGACTCACACGTGGAATGAAATGAAGCGCTCTCCAGCTTATTTGCTTGATAGAGGTTTTTCAATTTTTATATGCTAACCCTCTTAATTGTGACGCTATTCAATTAGCACCCTTTAGTATATGATTTTATTCTGAATTGTTCTGAGCATAGATGGCTTCTTTCAGCAAGGGTATCATGAACTTAAGGGCAGGTCATTCCACTGTGTAAAGATTTTACGAAATTAATACGGAATTTGGCTCTCTATCCAACCCCCTGTGTCCTCTCTCTCCAACCTATTTCTATCAACTCCCCCCTAAAACAACAAACGGTATAGGAAGAGTATGGAGGTGGAAAGAGAGAAAGAAATCACTTCTTGGTCTCTTCTTTGGTAGGTCCCCCTCTCTTCTTGACCTGCACTCCTGGCCAAGAACTTGATGGTGTCAGAGAGACATGGCCATCTCCTTTACCAACCCCCAAATATATTCAGGGATTAATAATTTCTATTCAGTATGCCAAACTCATAGGGATGGCATGTTGAGTTTTCTGAAATGTGTTCCCAGAATAACACTTAGTGAATCTTAAGAAAGGAAGTCAGATTCTAAAAACACCCGGAAATCATCTGCATTAGTCAAAAACTATGGATAATGGGTCTCACGTAATTCGGTCATAAATTTGTTATTTTTAAAAAGGATAAGTGCTATATACGGACGGCCTACCCTGGTCCAGGCACTCTGGTAGACATCTTGCAAATGCAGTTTGGAAGTTTTTCAAACAGCTCGCAAGGTAAAAAGAAAAACTGAGCACAAGAGAGACTGAAATACATGGCTTGCTGACATATCTCTGCAAAGACCAAACAGGCAAAGTGACCTCTACATACCATTAGTAGACAGAAGGAAGTAGGCTGCATTCTGCTGAGGGAGCCATCTTATTTTATTGATTTTTTCTTCTATTTCTAAACTCTTCAGGTAATCGAACTCGGGTTCATGGCTCTGGAATGTGCTGTAAACATTGTATTCACCCCTACGATGAACCTGATTTTTACTCTGTAGGAAGGGAAAAACAACACACACGAAAGATGAAGTCACATAAGCCAACTGCAAATTCACCAATTCCTTCTTTTTGGGGGCAGACTCACTGCGGTGGGATGGAGCGGGCCACGTCAGTGTAGAATGAGGGCAGAACCATGGCAACAAGTTTACCTTAGCTTACTGGCCTCCCCAGCATTTGGTCACGCACCCCTATTGGTCAATACTGGCACCTCCAGGATAGAGCTATTTATAAATTATATGCAGGAACTTCTGCACTAATATATGGTGTCCACAGCATATACATAGAAATAGATATTAAAATAGGACAACTTAAAAACACATATAAATAGAAATTCTAATCTTTTCTTTGGACATCCTAATGGATGTCTTGGACACCCTTCAGAGTGAGCCATCCCACACCGAAGTCCACACATCTATTAATCCCTCACAAAGACTCCAAAGCTATGGCATCTGCACCTTTCGCTAGCCTTTTAAAATCTCACCAGATCCTCAGAGAACCTCTGAGAGGTCGGCAGTGCAGGGAAATGGACAAAAGAGGCTCAGAAGTATTAAAATGACCTCTCCAAGGTCACACAGCTTATACACAGCAGATTCGGACATCAGATCTCTCCCTCCCCCCATTTTCTTCTGGCACGAGTGACAAAACGGACATGAGCGCAGAGACGCCACCGGAGTCCCTGGGAGGACTGTCAGACTCTACCCCCCATGTCCCCCCATCTCCGTTACGCACAGTGAGCATGGTGCGCAGAGCAGAAACTACATTAAGGATGCTAGAACGAAACTTAAAGGAAAGGATCTGCAGAAGGGGGCAAGGGTGAGAAGAAAGGTGGAGAGGAGGACAAAGAAGGTGTTAAAGAAACAGGAGAAGGGGAAAAAAGAAAAGGGAGTTTTTATTTCAGGTGTTTTAGGACCTTATTACCAAGAGCTTCCAGATTCAGGCTTTGGAAAACTGTGCTCACAAATTCAAATTCAGGTCTTACTGAACATGTGTCGTAGAAGCTTGACTCTGAAGAAAAGGCTCAATTAAAAAAAAAAATCATATTTCTGGATGGATATTGAACATTCAAACCCAAGTCTCCATTTACTCAATTTGATGGGTGATGGTGCTGATGGCCTGTGTTGAGCATATTTGTGAGGGTCCTAGGAGCAAATTGTCCAGGAGTGGAGTGTGCCTACCGAGGAGTCACTCACAGAAGTCAGAAGCCAGCCTGACTTAGATGTTGTCCCCTGGCTTTGTTTCTCAGGCTTCGAGCTCATTCCAACCCGAAGCCTCGCCACAAAGCGGAACACTCAACTGTATGCTCCTCTCTTCAACATCTATTTTTTATTGAACAAAACCACCCTCCTTTGGAATACGTGTCCCTCTTCCTTCTACTACTGACTCAGGCTTCTCAAATAGTTTGGTCAATTAAAACAGGTGAAACCTATAAATAGCTAACGGAAATCGTGGAGCAGATTATGACCAGCAACATGCTGCCTTGGGTAATTTATGTTAAAGAGTGGCTCTGGTTCTTCTTTATCATCACTATGGACCTAACTGGATTTTCTTTTAAAATGGAAGAAGGTTTGAAAATCAGTTTTAAAAAAGGACTTTAAATGCTGATATCCTGCTTACTACAGAGACAGCCAGTCCACCTTAACAATAAATTTATAAGAGTTCTGATTTGCTACCATCCAAATCAGACTGTCAAGTGTGTGTAGTACGTGCCAGACCAATTAGCACTAGGCAGCTCTGGAAAAGCAGGAAAAATTCCAGGTCACGAAGAGCTATTAGTTCCTACTTGCCAACCACATTTTCGTGTTTCCAGGGCCAGTGGAATCGGCCGGGTGCCTGATTTAATGCTGAACACTTGAATTTAGACAGAACCCCGAGGGATCACGATGCCCTTATAGAAATTAATTGCAAATAATGTGCAATTACCAAATATATCACCTCTAAATGAGGCTTTCCTTTTTTTGAGGGGAGGGGAACATAAATGGCTTTGAAGCACAAAGCAGGCTTTCAATTGCTAGGGAAGTCTCTTGTGAAACCTTCCTCCTGCGCCGGGCCTCCCCCTGCGCCGGGCCTGGTGAATCTCAGAGGCAGGCGGTAACAGATGGGAGAGGTCCTAGAACATACACGGGCCTGCTGGAAGCTCCAGGACCATGCCAGCGGAGGCCAAGGAAATCAGATTGGGCCGTAATTCTGTTCTGACAAAACAGAAGCAGACACCAAAAAAAAAAAAAACAACTCAATTTATATGAAAAAGAGAAACAATTCCTAGTGGAGCCCAAGTCTCAGGAGGAAATGGGCTTTTTGACATTCAATTCACTGGAAGTTCGAACTCCTGCTCAGAATGCACACAGCACTGAGCTCCAGGGACCTCCGCGACACCTGGAGTAAAGCACAGGCCGCGTGCATTGGGGAGATGTCTTTTTGTGGGATTTCACTCCCTTTGGCGGGGTGAGCTATCACTTTCTTCGCTACTGACCCCAGGTGTCCTTTTCACATCTGTTGGCAAAGAGCTATTTTTTTTTTTCCCTCCTACGTATTCTGTAGGAGCACCTGAAACCGGGAGACTTAATTTCAATGGCTGGAAGAGAAATCCCACTCAAAAAGGAGTTCTCTGCTCAACAAACACCCATGGAATTTCGCAGGTCAGATGGGAAGTGGGGTCGTTTTGAATGTGCAACACCCAGGTTGGGAAAGATCAGGCCTGCCCAGAAAAGGCTCTATTAATCAGGTGCTTTTAGGAGCCTGAATGTGGAACTGTTGATGTTAATGACTTTTTGGCAGTTTTTAGTTTGCTAGCAAAGCAGCAAGGTTAAGGGCGACACATGAGGATTAAGGAACAGTAGGAGGCCTCTTTTAAAAAGAGAAGAAAATGGGCATTTTGCATTCACTGCCACTTACCTCCTGCTCTCGTTGAAAAATTACAACCCGACCCCCCTTGTCCCCTGTCGCTAGTAATTCTCCCGTGTGGTTGAATTCTACCGTAGAGATAATGTCAGCTGAAAAGGAGAAGACAAAGGCAATTAAAGTAACTGCACACTTACTTTGAAACGATAGATAATAGATATACTTTTCTGTGCATTGAAGGGCTCTGGGCTTTGTCTTTGCAGTGGAATTTACAAGGATTTGATGCTCTGTATTTTAAGCATCATGCCATGAGAAGTGGCATTTGAGAAAGTCAATTTCCTAGATGCCCACACTGCACAGTGGGCTCTTGGAACATCTGGAGAGAACAAAAGGGGAAAGCACATGCAGACCCTTTTGTCAGGGGCAAGAGAAAACGCATTTCTTTAACAGCTCCAGGAAATGGCAATTTTTTTTTCCCCCTGAGAATTTCTATCAACCCCCAGACTTTTTACCCACCCAGGATCTTTTGCATTCTCCTTCCTTCTACACAGAGAAACTTCCCCAAACAGGTTTCAAGTGTGGCTATTCAGACGCGGGCTGAGGACTGTGACGCACCAGGGCTGGGGGGAGGGGGGGGGTGTCTTGAAGCTCAGACATGGAAAATGAAGGGACCCCACAAATGCTCCAGCTTGACCCATGCTCCCTCTTTCCTGGTGAGCCCAACACACCCTTCTGGAAGAGCACGGCCTTATTCCAACCCCAGGAGCAAGGTGCTGAGAAACAGGGTCACGAGGTCAGAGGGGAGAGGGCAATTTGTACTCCGTATTTCAGAACGAAGAAAATACACAGGCGCCAGGAACCCAGATCATAGATAATTGCTGAAGGAATGCCAGTCTGCCAGGTCTTTCTTCAACCCTGGTTGCCCCGGAGGAACACGGACAGGTAAATTACCTATGATTGGATTTAGTCGGGCTATTTTTAGAAAAAATGTCAGAAGTTAATTCCTCTGCAATTATTCCCCTGCAGGGCTCCAACAATTGCTACCGAGAGTGCAAATGAGTTTGGAAAAAAAAAAAAAAAAGAGGCAGGGGAATTATGATGGTAGCCTTTGACAGAGGGCCATTCTGAAGATTATGTCCATGTGAGGAAAGCAAAGGGGAAACAGTGAGGTGGAAAACTAAGGCAATTACCCCTGAATAATTCAAATCTCAGATCTCACTTTAATATCATCATTTCAGGATTTTCTTCGTATGCCTGATTTATTCAGGTAAGTAGTGTAAAATTCTCCACTTTGCGTGTAACTGTCCTGTTCCCTATACGAAAACGCTTCTAATGGTCGTTCTTTGTGCACAAGTAAAAAGAGTAAGCACAAGCGACAGCCACTTTCAAGCAGGGCACATTTAAAAGAACAATTCATGACTTCCTGTTTTGGCCTCTTAGATGTCTGACCCCAGGGGCAGCAAATTCAAAGCCCTACAGAGCCATGAGGTGCCAGGGCGTGAAGAAGTAGAAAGCCTGTGGCCCCTCTTAAGGGTAAGTGGCTGCTCAGCTTACGCCAATTGTGGATATGAAATATTTCATGAGTTACTATATTTTTTTTTTAATAAGAAGTTGGAAATGCGGATTTTATGCAAAATCTCTTCAATTTTCTATATTGCCAACTTTTTTTTCAAAGCCATGACATTAAAAGAAATAATCTCGTCTGTGGGCTGAAAATGTTTTGTGAGTCACGAGTTTATAACTTCTGCTCTACCAAGTCTTTCTTCAGAAAAGGCCACACCATTCCTTACTGATGATCTCAACGAGAAATCTAGTCTGTCCACTCAGGAAGACCCCTCCAAATGAACGCGACTTCAAGGAAACACAACCTAAGCTGTGTGGTTACTCAGTTCCTGATGGAAGTTCAGAAGCCCATTTTGGTAACAAGTGCCCATTGCCGAGTAAGCAAGCCCAGCAAGGCTGGGAAGCTGGTACCACAAGTGAATTCTTAGACCACTTTCCTTTGTTAGAGTTTATGTATCTTAGCAAAGCACTTTCACGTAAAGACGAGAGAAGGAGGCTGTTCAGTGTTTGCAGCCGCCTCAGAATGCCCTGGGAAAAGCACTTGAGCGCCAGGATATACTTCTAACACTAGTTCCTGCTTCTGGCTTTTTAGTGAGGGGTTAGCAACGGGGTTATTCACGAAGCTTCCTGACTTTCACAGAACCTAAAGCGGACGGGGCTGTTTCTTCTCACTTCAGGTTTCTGTCAGGTACCTCAGTATGAGGCAAAGCTCTCAAACTACTGAAGACATAAACACCCCCCAGAAGGAAAGAGCAGTGGGGAGGCCGAGTGTACAGGTTACCAGAGTCACGCTTATGTCCTTAGGGCCAACAACTGGCTAAACTGCAGTCTACACCCTTCTTAGCTGCAAAGTTGACACAGACTCCAGAGTTCTAGAAGGTGCACTGGGAACCAAAAGATGGGCCTTCCCTTTTAGTGAAGCTGGGTGTCAGAAGGAAGGAAGAGTTAAGTATACCTTTTCCAAGGTCAGTCTCTGTCTCAGTCTCCAAGAAAACGTTACTCCAAGGGAAACAAAATTCACTCCCCCCAGAGATGACATACATACACATTTGTCCTTTTGTCCAGACTGTGAAAATGTCTTCACTCTCCCTTTCAGGGGTACACAGGTCAAAACAAGGTAGTACTCAAGCTCACAGCTGAGCCACATGATCCAAGCTAGTGTTACTAGAACTCTGCATTTTGAGGGATCCAGGCATGGCTCCCGCTAATAAAAATGCCCCATGGATTTTCCAAGTGTTATAATTATCTGTGCTATGCCTTCCTCAAGAACTTGTAAGAGAAAGGGTGATTGGCATGGCAGGATTCTCACATTCTTTAGTCCTCCAGCCAGGACCTTAGCTTTATTTTAATCCTGCCACTCGGTTGGTGTGTATGTTAGCTTGTTTATATCCAGCTGTTGTCTACCTCCCTTCAGAGCACAGGTCACTGCAGCTCGAGTTAATACCTGTTTTGAACTTTCATGTTTCCTGACTCATTTATCATGGCTAAGCCAGTAGGTGTAACCGGAATACTTTACTGCCCCATCCATCTCTGCAGATCTTCATCTATGACTGTTTAATAATTGATGCAAACCTCATGAATCACCCCACATTCCAATTTCAAGATACCCAGACTTCTGATATGAATACTCTTGTTTGCAACAGGCTCTTGGTAGAGCACTTGAAGTCAGAAAAGCCATGCTGCTCAAGATAAAATAACTCTTGTTGAGTATAGAGAAGACACGGCGAAAACCATCAACTAGCAAGCCCTATGACAATAACTTCATCTGGAATCACGGTCAAAAGAAATCAATTCATCAGGTTCAGTATGACTTTTACCTTTAACTGACACGTGTATATGACAACTCATTTTATCAAATGCCGAGCCGAATCACGCCGTTTTATGCAAAGCTCTAAACTGGAGCATTTTCCCTCTGTTCCACAGAGATGTGGATAAAGTGCATGTTTTTGACTAAAAACAAAAACCAGAGGCCAAAAGCAGTTATGGAGGTCAAATGTAGTTAACATGATTTTTTAAAAGGAAACCCTGGGAGGTAGGACGTTTGCCCTGTTCCACATTTATTTGTGCTGATTTAATTTCCACAAGACGGTGGCCTGGTAACCCCATTTCTAGTGCAATAGGCACTGCTAAGACTGAGTTTTTCTTTTCTAAAATCCATCTTTGCATCTTACAAAGGTTCCAGACTAGTAAATTCATACATAAAGTCTCCATTTACCTGAATAATAGAAACTGACTTGGCCATTATATGCCTGTGATTAGGCTGAAGAAATTGAGGGAACCCCAGCACATGCCCCAGTCTCTCACGGTACCATGCTACACAATGCCTGGGCTGAGCACAACGATTAGGCGATGTACAATCCAAAGAGCAGGGTGACCGTTTTGATAAAATTCTGGCTCAGTTTAAACCTGGAGTGGACCTAAACCCAAATCCTCTGGTGGGACAAGGTCTTACTGACCATGTCAGGAGCACTGGCCTCTCCGCATCGATCACAGAGATTCAAATGAGAAAGTAATGCAATTTAGCCTTCAGAGCCCATTAAATGTTTTATCTTTCATCTCAGTAACATTTGGGAGGTAATACTATAAAGTCATTTACTCTTCTTATATCAGCTGGCCAGTTCTGCCCACTCAATACTTGGCTTTCTTCTGGATGGTAAGTTGGGCTCTAGGCAGATTGGTCTGCTTCTTTAGCGAGGATGAGGAGGTGGTCAGCCAAGATGGAAAAGAGGTGTCACAGTGGATGACAATGGTGAAATATGGGTAATTGTTGGAAGGTTTGGGTTGAGAAGGATTTGGGAGGTCACATGCAGGTGGAAGTGCTCTGATTAATTGGCAATGGGCCCTGCGTTCTGCAGTGAGGGACAGGGGGCAGGGCGTGTACCCTCTGTGGTCACTGCATAGGGGCTTCTAGCTAGATTGACAGTGACTTTGCGACTCATTAAATAAACAGGGGAGTCTTAGGCTCCCAGCGGGAATTAAAATTACTCCTTCCATCTACATAAAACCGTGGCCTCCTTCTTGGGTTCTGGGTCACGGCCCAAAGTCAGCATCCATTTTCTCGGATAGGGTTTTCTCTGTTAAGTTTTGATAAATGAAATAGTGTGTTGGAGTATAGTTTCCATCAAAATAGGGGGATAAAAGGAGGTCTGGTTATGGCCAAACAGGATATGCCCAAGTACTGCTACTGGGATTGGGTCAAAATGGCCTACTTCTTGGAAAATTTTAATACACTCTAAAATTTAAAAAAAAAAAAAAATCAGGCAATAAAACAGTAGGTGTGCAATGACTGCAATTTTTAAAAAGTATTCTCATCTTAAAATGTATCTTTTTTCACTGGTAAAGCGACATACACTTATTAAAACTCCCTTTAATACCAAGATGATGCTTAAAATATAAAATGAAATTTCTCTTACAATCTGACTCCCCGGAAAATAATAATTAACTCCTATAAGTACACACACACACAAATAGTCACAGGCCAAGGACTGTCAGCCAGAGTCCAAAATGATGTTTTAGTGTAGGATGTGAATGATTTAACTTATTTTCTTACAGTCTCTTTCTAATTTTTCAGGATTTTCTAATTTTTTTT